AAACGCAAGAGAACAAAGAGGCGCGAGGGAGATCGCAAATTTCTTTTCCACCTTTTAAAGAAAAAACCATGAGGTTTGTGTGCCTTCGGTGTGGCGGAGGTGCATGAACGTGGCTTAAAGTACTTTAACCTCCTCGAGCTAAAGTTTTTTCTCGGTGTGGCGGGAAGAAACTTTAGGGGGAGAATGGATCAGAGAGAGATCCGGAGACGAATGTTTTTTCTGTACGTTGTTCAATTTCTTTTGACTAATAAGGTCTTGCGAAGCAAAAAGGGCTGGACGGACAGGGGTTTGAGCCTTTATATATATATATACACTATGTTTGTGTACATATATATCTATATATAATCATAAATAGATATATAACACCACAAAAATGACTGCCAAGGCTTGGTCTGTCATGTTTGCGTCGAACAGACTGCCAAGGCTTTGTGGCTCATCACCAAGTCTTTGGACGCGCACAAAGAGGAGGCATACTGATGTTTTCACGTATGAAGAAACTAACAGTTTGTTTGAATACATAAATCTTCAGAACTGAGTTTTGTGAAGCTTGTCTTCGGCCCCCATTCCACATATAATTCTTTTGAGGTCTCGAGCAGTATGAAGCTGCAGCAGGATGCCACAGCGAAGAATTTAAGTGAAACCAAAGCCAACCTGATCAAAACCCTCGAGGCACCATCAATACGGGGAAAGGAGTTTTTCTTTTTTTCCGTTGGAGGATCAATTGATTGAATGATCCATGTATATATGAACTTGTGTGTGTTGACTTTGTCAAGACCCCGCGCTTTTTTGTGTTCTATTCGAAGTCCTTGATGTTCAATATTCAGGCAGTTTTTGCACCTTTGCACAACGCATGAGGCACAGAAGCAAGAGATACACATGAATTTGGAAGAACATAAGAAAGAAGCATCACAAGTGATGGCCAGCACCAACGAGGCACTTACTGTGCACAAGATTGAGACAGTCAAACATTTTGATTCTCGGCGGACTTAGCAGACCAAGCAGTGCCGCAAACTGGAACTCACAAGATCACAGGCTCGCACATTTCGAGTGTTTTTTCTTATCCGTTTACTGAGGAATCGACTTCAGAGCAACTGGATGCCCATAAGAAAGAGCTCTCAATCTTGGGAAAATCCTTGCAAAGCCACAAGGAAGAAGCAGCTACAGTGGCTGCAGCACTTGAAGTTCACAAGAAGGAGTTTGGTGATCACAAAGAAGCTTCATTAAAAGCTTTGTCAGCTCAGCAGCAAGAGCTGGAAAGTCACAAGAAGGTAGCAGCAGAGCAGATTGAGTCACACAAGAAGGAAGCAAGTGCGGC